AGATCGGTGAGAAGGAACTGTACGATATTTGGCAGATTGATGGATGGGGCCTTGGAGATTGTGTAGGTTGACTTTGAGCCCCTGGTGATTGACCTTGGTACTGCAGTTTAATTTTTTTATTCTGTTGTTTGCGCGTTATGGACTGTTTGTGCGATATTAAGGTAGCGTGTAGTTGTTATTACCATGGTTTAGTGGTTTAAATTTGGGCTTCCTAGCTGTTTGCGTTTGATATTTACAATATGTTTAAAGTTGGTCTTTTTGTGTTGAATGTTTGGAAAATCTGGTGGGTCGTTTGGTATAATATTTGGTATGTGGGTAGTTGTTGAGTCTCTTTGCGTTTTAGAGTGCATTAGCAGGTTGTCGTATATTTTTATTGCCTAATTTAAAAGGATTTTCATTTTTTCACCCCTACTTCATAATAGGATGGTCTGTTTGACCCAAAAGTTGGGACAGATCTAGAGTGTTTTTGTTTATATACCTCCAGCTGGCAGGTCAGGCTGAGACAGCCCAATCTATTTTTACCCCTAGACAGAGTCATGCTTGAGAGGTCATTGACCTCACCTCTTCACTATGGTTGGTTGGCTGGTTTTATTATAGGTCTGTTAGTGCTGTTAATGATATTCATGGCCATATAACGTCAAATTATATTTAAACCCATCTGCCTTCTTCTAACCATTTTTCATCTTCATCTGAACATACCTTCCATATACAATGAATACAGGTGATAACATAAATAAAACCTTACAACACCAACCTCCTCCATGGAGGGAAGATGTCCCTGACTTCTCCTTGTTTTCGTCTGTTCTCAAAAAAAAAAGGTCACGTCATCCGAGGCTCTGGCCTGGATAGTCCATGGTACCTTGCTATATAGCGACAGTATGGAGCCGGTAGTAACTCTGGAGGATGGCACCCAGGCTGCCAAAGCTACACGACTCAAGACCTCAGTACATACGTACAGTGTCGATTCATAAATCCGCAAAAAGCCAGCATGTGCCGGCTTGTCGTATATGTCACTATGTTCTGCCGCAGTTCTGCCACAAATTCACAATACCAGCTTTGCCTTTGTCTTCCTGTGGTTTAGTAGCATTTTCATTTTATTCGCCCGCGCGCACTAGCTTGGGGGTCTTCAGAGGATGTCCTTACCTTAGAGTGTGGCCTTACCTGATCCATTGCGCATGCGACCGAAATTGACCGATCATGATCAGAAGTAATCCATGACGTCCAAAAACACTGCAGGTCTAGGATCAAAAGCGCCCCCAAAGGGAAAAACATATCACAGTAATAGGAGCAGTTTGGAGTAAAAAAAAAATTGGCCATTTTCACGTGCAATTAAACCCATCACCCATAATTTAGCCACCAAGTTGACTTATATTGTCAGAAAGAGGGGAAAAAAACTTTTGTATTATCATATATACATGTATATCAAGAAAAGTATAAAGAATTTATATTATCACAATAGCCCGTCGCGCGAGGCATAGCGACAGCACCCCCAGAACGCATGAAAGGCATATCTGGCTCAAAATGAAACACCGCACTCAAGGCGGAAGGACACCCGTGAATAAGCCTGACTGAGAGTTCACAAAATTGTCTGGCCTGTAAAACCCATGACAGCATTATCCAGTATGATTCGTTTTCATGTTTTGTTTCTGATCTTGTTTGGGAAAAGTGGAAGACTTCTTCTCTTCTTGTTTTTGGAGGATCGAGGACGTGTTTTCACTCTGCAGAAACTTATCGTGGCACCATGTCTGGAGGGCGGCGGCAGCGGTCCCGTACTGCTGACACAAACGGTTAGTAGCCTGTTTTTACACAACTTGGCCCTGTTTTTTTAATGTAATCCTAGAAACAACCTCATAACGGTGTTAGTTTCAAGCGTGCGTCTGAAAAGTACCGAAGTAACGGACGGGTTCCTTTCTCAGCACTCGGCCACACGGTAAAGAGGTGAGGCGGCTTCCGTCATAGATTTCCAGTGCCGAAGTTGAATCAACACTGGGTGTCCAGTGTCGGCGGCTTCAGCACTGGAAACTCACGGCGGTCTGTCACTACCATTAAATATGACTACGGCATTCTTTCCCATTGCTAGGGGCTTTCAAAAAAGTATCGGGTTACAAGACCATAGTGAAAATAAACAATATAGTATCGAAGGGAAAATTTCGTTGAAATAAAAAAAACTATCGTCTTTACATACATTTAATGGTAATTTTTTGTGTACATGGTGATTTTACCTTTTTTTGTATACTGACGAACAGTGCAATATCACAAGGAGGTTATTAATAAAAAACCCTTTTGTATCGTTTTTGAGCAAGGCCAAAATGGCGTGATTGTATAAATGCTCCCAAAATTGGTGACAAATGTGGTTGTACATGTAGCTGTTGTAGCTGTAACAAGTCTGTTCACCTGGCTCCAATTTTCATGATAAAACCCTGATCATTGTTTAAGGATAATCACAGCATTTACAGAATCAGATGCATATAGTCTGAATTTTGTTCTTTTCAGATTTTTAACTTATGGTACAGGTGATATTTTGATATGTCCGATGTTGTTTTCCCCAGACGCCATGAATACTCGTATGCAGGAGTCTCAGACTGATTGGACGTACATCGCCGATAAAGCTGCGACGACACCCAACCCTCTTTATGTTTCTAAAGCAGGTGAGTCCTATTCAGAGATATCATGAAAGTTCATGTTTACATGTTTAACCCTCAAACACCCGAACTTTTTTGTGACGTTAATGCCCGAACGGGGTCCAAATGGACCCCATTTGGTTTCTTTCAAATTTATATTCCTTTTTGCATCCTTTCAGTGACCTTTGCACATATAGTGGTTAAACATATTAAGACGTTTATTTTGACATAATTAACTTATTTAAGTGTTAGAAAATTCCCAGCTCATTATCATAATTTATGCAAAAATAGGATGAGGCCTTGTATTTTGACCGAGTTTCATACTTACAATTTCAATATATTCAGGTGCTCTGCATAAAGGCTTGCAAATAGAGAAAAGCAGTAGAAGAAAGGATAAGAATAAGAGTATTTTAGCTAAGCCCACTATTGGGATGACTCCATTAACACTTTTATTGACATGTATCTAAAATTTCCTTGATCTTTTCGGCTTTAAAAGCCTTTTAATTATCGATCACCACATTTGTACATTACTTGTTCTGTGTACTGCATTGTATGTGTCTTTGCATTGTTACCTCCATGAAATTTGTCATGGAGGTTATATTTTCAGTTGCGTTTATCTGTCCGTCCGTCCGTCCGTCCGTCCGTCTGTCTGTTGGTCAACAAGATAACTCAAGAACGCCTGGATGGATTGGTTTCATACTTGGTGTGTTGGTAGGGTGTGACAAAAACTGGAAATGATGAGATTTTGGTCCCCCTAGTGGCTTCCCTTGGTACTGCAGCGCAACTTCCGGTTTTGATATCTCGCGATCTGGACATGCTAGGGTCATGGAATTTTGATGGAAGGTAGCTCTCGTGCTTGGGAAGAAGTCATATGAGTTTGGGCCCCCTAGCGGCTTGTTCTGGAACTGCAGGGCACTTTCTGGCGAAATGTTTAAAAGCCAATAAGTCCAGACAGGAACAACATATTTTCATTATTTTTGGTGTGTAGGTAGCTGAGAGAGAGATGTACATAATTAAATGCAAATTATGCAAATGAGGACTTTATTAGCATAATTAATGATGAAATTCTATAATTACATTTTTTTACATTATACTATGTAACCTATGGCAGGCGGAACTTCAACAGATACTAATTATGAAAATGATGACCTAATTTGCATAATTGACGTGAAAATTCTATGATTTCGTAATGGTGAATGATGAGAATGTCATACTTGGGACATCT